ATGCTCGCAGCAGTGGATCACCTCCTAATGTTCGCCTGACACCGTTAAGTTCTGGATGCTATTGTTTTAGATAAAAGCTGAGTTCATGTAATGAAAAATGTTACAGACTACTCTTTTCTCAGGTTGGAGATCTTTCGAACTTCTTGAATGCAAATTTTTGGGATTCATATTCTTCAAACTGAACATAGTTCTAGAAGCACAAAGAAAGAAAACTTCTTAGCAATTCTTGGATATGAGGTTTGTGTTGTTGCTCTCTGATCCACAATTTGGGGTTTCATCAGACGGTGGTTGGATGGTACCGACTATTCCAATCAATCACCATGGACATGGACAGAGCTATGGGACTAGATTGTTGCATTTCCATGGATACCTGCAATTTATACCGTGCATTTTCAACCGGATTACGCTTATGGATTGAGGTAGGGTTCCTTGGTTCACACTCTACTATTGTTTCGCAAACTGAATTTAAGCACACAATTAGAAAGCTAAGATGTGCTTTCTTGTATCATCAATTGTTCAATACTTTCGAGGGGTTGTTTTACCTTAGTTCCTCATAAAAATTATTCATCACTGCAGATTGCAGCGATGCGTGATGTTTCAGCAACGGAAACAGCCATAATTTACGGGATGGAACCACTCTCGGGTGCTGATTTTGCTTGGTTTCTCTTGTTCTTGGCAAATAATTTATTCGTCTTGCTATCCCGATTAGTTACTTTTACAAGGTTTCTACTGATCAAAACAAACAGGGTGTAGGATAGACCTATAGAATAAATCAGCTCCATCTTATGTCAGGTGGAAGCTTACTGGTGCAGATTTTCGTATCCTCGCCCCCGAAAGAATTTACAGAAGATGGTAATGAGAAAGGTGATCTCCAACAAGTTCCAGTCGAGCATAAATTACAAAACAGTCTCTCTACTTCACCGGTTGTTGTCAGATCTGAAAAAAATGTCACAGATTTCTTCAAGCGATCTCTCCTAATTCTTTCTCCATATGTATAAGTACAAGTTTGAAAGTAGCCAACAGATAATGCATAGAGAGAAACTTATCAACGATACTTATCATAACAACTGAAGAATACAAACTCCAATTCCGTTACATAGCGGCAAAAGTTCAAAGACATCACACCACAACAGACTAGCAACTAGAAATACTAAATCACGAGCAACTTCGTTTAAAATACATAGTCTAATAATAAAACACAGGATATGAAGATTATCAGAAGGATCAATTCTTCTTGGCAATGAACAGGCCTCAGGGTTACGTCAGTGAAAAAACATGGTAGGTCCCATCATTCGAAGGTGAAGCTGTACGACTCCGAGTTACACCGGAGAAGAAAATATATACATCACACACCGATACTAACTGTGGCTAATGAAGCTGTCTGACACTGCTTTCGGCAGTGAAGCCGGGGGTATAACATAAATATGTCACTACTCCTCAACTGTGTCCTATGGCCATAGACGTCTCATATATGTGTTGTGTGGATGTGTTGTATGATAACCCACTAGATAAGCACCGAAAACATATCTCAAATCTCATATCAAATCCAGAGCTCAAAAGCGCAAAGTCTTTACACGTAAATCCATGATAATTCACATTTGTAAATCCATAGAATTTCATATATGAAAATCCCATAATTCATAACTCATATTCGGAAACCGTAGTATAAATCATATTCATAATCCATAGAGTTTCATATATGAAAATCTAATAATTCATAACCTTTTGTAAAACGTAGGTGCGATAAATCATAACTATCTCGTAAACCGTAAATATAGAAATCCAGAACAACAATATATAAAACATATTCAAATCATGAAGTGTGAAATGTATGCTAGGCTAATATTTTATTAAGAAAATATGTAAGTTTAGAAGGGGTCCACTTACATATATTTTGTTGCTCGGGAGTTGCTTGAGCTAGCGAGGATGGAGACACTTTCCACCGATGCACCTAACCACAATTAGGGATCATTTAGTAAAACTCTACTAAAATGTTAGAAGTTGAGAAAACAGACGGCGGATTCGAATTCGGCACGTCGAAAATCATTTAGTAAAACTTTACTAAAACGTTAGAATTTGGGAAAAAGGACAGAGGATTCAAATTCGGCATGTCAAAAAACCTAAAGAGGGGCCTCATGTTTTCCCCCACGCATCGTTGCACGAGCCACCACGAGGTGGCGGCTCGGAAGGCCACACGCTGCACCACATGGTGGCTGGCAGCACCGACTCGCTGAAAAATTCAACAACTCAAAAAATTTCCAAATTTTACAGGAATGCAGATCTCAATGAGGGGAACAACTTTCATACTTGAGCCAAAGTCCAATTCGGCCAGGAAGCACCTCAAATCACCCTTGATCCGTCGAAAACCTTTGAAATTGATGGTTGTCGATTCTTCTTCCTCAATGTTTCGACACACCAACCAAGGCTTGGGATTTATTCCTGGGTTCAAGAGGAGTCGAACCATGGTGGTGGTTGATGGTGGTGGTTCCAGAAATGGCGAATTGCGGCCGTGCACCCATTAAGACCAACCGATTTCGTTCTTCACAAATATGGGGTTAAACAAGTGGAATTTAGGTGGAAATGGAAGATGGAAGGTCGCTGAGTAGGTTGTAGGTGGTGGCGACGATCAATTTGTCAAGAAAACGCCGGAATCGACGTCGGGGTGTATGTAGGAATCAGGTCGGGTTACGGGTCGAAGGGAGGTCCTAGTTGGTTGGTTCCTTCCTACCCTTATTTCCCTTATTTCTTTTCTCTCCCATTGGTTCACTTTCCTCCTTTTTTCACCGATTAAGCAGCTTCCCCCTTCCTTATTCTCATCTTCTTTCTATCACAGCCACATACGTGGCACCAGATTGATGCTCCAACAAAATCTGGAGCCTTCCAGATTTATGGTTAAATGACCATTTTGCCCTCAACTTCGTTCGTTAATAACTCTTTCGTTATAACTCCAAATTCGATTCCATTTGTACCCATGAGTTCGTAGTGATGACAAGAATATGCCAAGGAAATGAATCTTACGTGACACGACAAGACGATCAACAAAAATCAACGCTTTAGGGACGGGTCGTTACAACAATGTAGTTATTTAAATGCCACAAACACAAGACTTAGCCTCTTTGTGCATGAGATTAAGGTAAGAGAACTAATCCAACGGTGCATAAGTGATGAAATCTAACTTTGTAAGAATTTTTTTTTTTTTTAGGTTGAAAAGTTCATAAAATTACAGATAACATGTCCGAAATCAACTTAAAAAAAGCTAAAACAAAAATAAATTGACCACGTAATCAAATGACTACATAAATAAATATATAGCCTCATATAGAGCCCGAAAGGTATATAGCCCCTCATTGAGAGAGATTCTTTTTTAGAGCCCCAAAGATTTCTCAGAGCTCTAAATTGGGGTATATCCATCATTTTTCTAGCCCCATATAGAGTCCATCAAACTAAGGAATTTCAAAATTATGGAAATAGAAATGCCGAATTTTATTTTCTAAAATTTGTGAATTTTATTGTTTCATTAACCTAAAAGAACAATGAAATTTGAATACGGAATTTTTTATTTTTAAATTGTTACTCATAGAAATTTGGAAATGACACATATTTACATGGAATTCAAATTTGAGAATTGGAGATCCCAAATTTCAAATTTATTTTCACGCAAAAATTCTAAATTTTTATGTTTATAAATCCAAATAAGAAAATTGGTGCACATCAAACTTCTTCAAAATTCTAAGTTTACATCCCTTATCCAAACATAATATAAAGCATACTTAAAATACTATTTTGAATAAAGAAAACACAACAGACACGAACATAATCAAGTAGGCTAAAATAATGTGAGAGCTTCGCTCGTCACTCAAATTTCCTTTCTCTCTCGTTTAAATTATCTCATCGTTTTTCTTTATAATTTTTTCAGGGAACTACACTATCTAAGTATATAAAATTGAAGAAATATTCATCTCCATTGGTTCATTGATTAATAGGAAGCGTATTAGGAAGAAACTCGTGATTTATTTATAAATAAGCAGTTTTTGGTTTGGGCCTTTGTGCTTGCTTTGTTGTTTTTATGGAGCTCAAGTTAAAAAACTAATATTACCTAGGAGAAAGCGGCCTTAAGGTCATCTCCAACCGAAGGATCCAGAAGGCCGAAAATAACTTGAAAACCGTCTCCAACCGAAGGCTAAGCCAGAGGGCTCTGGAATCTGAGAGGGTCCCACGGAATCGGAGAGGGCTAGAGGGCTGGCCATTTTTTTTTTTGCTTATGTTGGATTTCCTATCGGTTATAACCGATAGGAATTCTTTGAATATTTTTTTTTAACAGTTTTACTATTATTTTTTATTTACAAAAATTTTCCTATAACTTCTATTTTTCATATATTTTTTTTAAATTCTATTTTTTTCCTATAACTTTTATTTTACAAATTTGTTTCATATTTCATTTTTTCCTATAACTTCTATTTCACAAAATTTGTTTCATTTTATTTTAAATTCTATTTTTTTTTCCTATAACTTCTATTTCACAAAATTTGTTTCATATTTTTTTTAATTCTATTTTTTTCCATAACCTCCTAAGCCATTATACAACATTAAATTAAATTAAGTAACATGAAACAACATTATACAATATTAATAACATTAACAAACATAAAAATTATACAACATAAAAAAAACATTTAACAACATGAAACTTAAACAACATTTAAGTTGTAGTTTTTAAATAATAAATTATGTTTGGCCCTATGGCCATTTGACTCTCGGTTGAAGACGGAGACAAATATGGTCATGTACTGTTCATTAAAATATTAATATTTTGGAGAATCTTGAAGGGTGGGCTAAAACGAGCCCTCTAGCCAGCTATCGGTTGGAGATGGCCTAAGCAGCCCAGCCGCTCTCTTATCCATGCTCCAGTAATGGTGCTCATGTACTCTTTAAGGTTCTAGGTTCGATTCTCCAACAAAAAAACGCGTGCGTACTAAGCCTCTCAAATATTTGAAATAGAATGCACATCAAAACAAGCCCCTCTTTGATTCGTAAAATATTGGTATCCCCTAAAGGAAGAAAGGATGACAAACAACTGCAAAGTGCGGTACTCAATTTCAGAAGGAAAGAAAGAAAGAAAGAAACTATTCAGGTGGCGCTTGGATCGGTTTTCCTTTCTCTCTTAGCTTGGCCACCGATTGTTTCATGGCCTCCTTCCTCTTTTTGCTAGCTAGGACTTTCGCTAAAACACCACTGACGTTCGGGTCCTTTTTCTCCTTCTCCTCCTCCGCCGGAGGCGGTGGAGGCCTTCTGGCTGCCGCATTTGCACTTGAATTTGGGTCGCCCACAGTGAAGCTCAGTACAGCGCCCGCCAAACCCAAACCCACATTCCTGCATCATCAACCCCCACATCACACTAGCTTGTCACAAAAAAGATTCATAGCGAAAATCCTCGACTCTTTTAAATGTAATAAGAAGTCTTTACTCTATTTTGACGTGATTTTAACGAGTTAGCATTGCAATTTTGCCGAGCCGTTTCTTTCCATGTAAAAAAGAATTGTAATTATTTAAATATAAGGAGCCAAGCATTGTTCTGTACATATAAATGCACGTGTTGGATAGAAGGTGTTTGGCATGAATGTACAATCAAATACTAACCTCCTGTGAACGAGATTATTGTTCGCAGCATTGGAGTCATCGGAAACTTGATCGGAAGCCCAGACGTTTTGGAATCCCACTGACCGGAAAAGAGTGGTCTTTTTAGCCGCTGCTGTTGAGATTGATGTTGCTGCAGCAGTGGTAGGTGGCGGCGACGCTAGCGAATGCGCCATTATCTCTCTGTCACTTAGAAGAGACGTTGTACTCTTCCAGTCAAGTGAAGATGTGAGGAAAACCTCATTTGGAAAAATGAAGATTTAGGTGTAATTGAGCTAGCCAATCCATTGGTTGCATCCAGATAAGGTTTCCCTTCTTGTGGGCCAACTGCTTCTATGGTATGGTTGATTCACTACCCTTCATCAACAAGGTCTTTTCCTTGCAGAAACACGAACCTCACTTCATCTGTATCACTCCCGAACTCGACCGAGCCTACAATCGCATCAAAAATTGGGAATACGGCATATACTTGTCAGCGGGTTTTTTTAGTACGAACCGAAAAATAGTATGCACTGGAACCCCGTGTTATTGGATTCTAAGCCGTTCAATACTTGACCACACATTCAACCGTTCACTCAGCTAGTCCAAGATGACAAGGGGCGGGCGGATGGCACAAATAGTGAAAGCGAAAACAAAATATAACTGGCATAACAGCATTTGTCAAAACTTTAGTAGCGCTTCTCACTTGAACCTCCTGACGAGACACATATTCAAATGTTTGAATTATACAGATAACAGAGTTTATAGATTTTCATTCAACAGATGTCCTAAGGGTGGAAACAAACTAGGCCACATATCCGATTGAATGCTTAGTACTCATCATCATCATCACTGTCGTCATCGTTGCCAGCGTCATTGAAGGCCTTCAATCTCTCAACCAACTTCTTCTTCCTCTCATCAAAGGTGAGCTTTTTGAGGTTGTATCTGTTGCACAAACGAAAAATGGAATCATTTGGTAACTTCTTCTTACTGAGCAAGAACACTAACCAAATATTCACTCCTCCAGAGTGACTAACTTGCAAGCAATGAAACAAGGCCTCAATTTAAAACATCGAAAACTGTGTATGTACAGTAATCAATCAAACTTTACCTCTTGTGTTCTTGAGGAGCAGGCTTTTCAGTCTTCTTAATTGTAGGATCAGCACGGATGGCAGCATGAACTTTCTTGTACAACTCCTCAATGTTATCCGCTTCAATTCCTTTCTTAATATATTCACTGAAGTGACTTTGATACTTCTCTGGCTCATCCTCCGCCAAGTTCTTAAAAACAAACGTAAGTTTGAGCATCAAACATCAATATTTTATGAACGGTAAAGTAAAATGGATATGCTTGACAAGAATACTTAACTCTTCTTGGACACAACGTCCATTCAAGTTCAGTAACAAATAACTAAAATTTTGACCAAATTACATTAATATTCTAAACCAGTCAAATTAATGCTAATGCATGACATGAATATTCAACTCACCCTCATGTAGGCAGCAACATGGCCACCATAGATGTACTTCCGATGAACCTCTGGGTCAAGTTGCTTGGAATCCTTGGAGAAACCGGCAAACCTCTTTTCACTGTGAGGGATATCCAACCCTCCATCCAAAGCACCCTGCAATCAATTGAATATTTTTCAAATCGGTTTAAGCACATACCAAGTGGATTTAAAATTCAGACTTATTGGGGAAAAGACCATGTAATGTATAACAAGGGAAGCAGTATGAAAATGATGTACTACCAGAGGTTAACATACAATTCATCAACATCCGCCAAAAGAAAGGTCTTAATCAAGTTTTCTTGGGATAAAAAATTGCTAGACAATTGAAAGAATAATGACTGACAAATAAAAACTGATGATCAGAACCGTCAGCAAAACATATCGGTGTAAACAATGAACAAAACTGAATTATGTTTAAAAGAAATTGACCACATAATACAAAACTGGCAGCATAATACGGTATTCTACCTTCAACGCACCAAATACACGATTTCCCGTGGTGGTCCTGATAAGACCTACATCAAGAAGAGCACGGAATGGCCTTCTGCTCTCAGCTGGCTCTACAGAATAGTCCTCACCAGTAGCCTGAAATACCGGATAAATGTTTTTAATAAAATCAGGAAATAAATTCCAATGAAGAAAATGAAACGGGATAGAGAGAAATAATCACACACTACCTCAACATTTCCCTCATATTCATCATCCATTTCAAGCTTCTTCAACACACGACGAGCCAAAAGAAGGCCAGTGCAATAGGCTGATCATAAAAATAAGGTTACTAACCCATGATAGTAACTCATATGGATAGAGCCAGAATGGGAAAGCAAATAAATACAACGGTGGAATACCTGCAGCATAGTTTGTAAGACCAACTTCGAGCCCATAGCGTGGGAGCTCATGGGCATAGGCAGCAGCAAGAACCAAATCACCAGCAATACTGGCTGATATAATTTGTGCAACAATATCCTTGTTGGTCTAACAACTACGTTAAGGTGAACATCACGGATAATGGAGGTAAAATCAAGATTATCAGCAAAATTGTAATTAGCAAAAAAAATAGCCATTTCAAATTCAAACTCGGTATCTATAAAACATAAAACACTATAAAACCTTAAAGGTGAAGTGCCGATTTAGTCCCTGAACTATTGCCTTAGTGAAAATTAGGTTCCCAAATTATTTCTTGGGTAAAATAGGTCCCTAAATTCATTAAGAATTGCTAATTTCATCCCTACTATTATATTCAAAGTTATTTTATCCATTTTTACGTCAATTTAAGTCACTTAACACACTTTAGAGTGTAATACCGTCGTTTTCTTGCTTATAAGCCCTCAATATTTCATATAGGTAGCAAATCTAACGTCTAATGTACCCTCCGAAGTTAACTTACACTCTTTCTTATGAAAAAATACAAATTTACCCTCCAAAGTTAACTCCATACACTATTTCTTTATGAAAAACTAACAATCTACCCTCCAATGTGTATCTCATGCAAGTCGTGACTTAAATTGACGGAAAATTGAATATAGTAGCTTCGAATATAATATTAGGGATGTAATTGGCAGATTTTTATACTTCTGATGTTTCTGAAAAAAAATAGTTTAGGCACCTAATTTTCACTAAGGTGATAATTCAGGGACTAAATTGACAGTTCAGCCAAACCTTAAATAACTATTAACAAAAGATGAATACAATGAAAGAAAGGCCCAGATAGTAGTTGACAAAAGGATACAAATCTCACGACAAACCGATACTTGGGTGTGTTGTACTTGTTCTTGTCTTGGTTAATAAGCCTAATCCTGGCTCGGTAGTCAGTCTTTCCCTCTGGACAACATTCGCTTTCAAATTATCAGAATGTACACTAACATTAATCAAAATGGGAAAACAACTTATCGCAAAAGCCGAAATGAATACCTCGCCTTCTCTTGTACTTGACTTGGAACCTCTTGAAGTAGGCCCTTGATTTCTGAGCTTTGGCGAAAGCCTATGACGAATAATTGAACAAACCGTTTAACAAACTCCTTAAAAATTACATACACAGGACAGTTCATGCAGCAGAGCAAAAATCCCACTAAAAAATGTTAATGTTTCAGAAAATGATAACGACATTGCAGCAGATCTATCTCAATGAGGCAAATCAATACAGTGCACGCCAACCCTAACAAGAAATAATAATCATGGAAATCATAAAAGCTCAAATTTTAGATCAATTAATTGGGAAATTTAACATAAACTGAAAGGTAGGGCTAATGAAATGGATAGGAAAAATGTACTCTTTTAACCAATTTTCCGAGCAGCCAAACAGAAAATAATCATGCTATTTTCTCGCAAGACGAAACGAGCAAACACAGACAGAGAACTTTCAATGGAAGTAACAGAGACGAAGTGAGGAAGCTCACCATCTCAGAAGATCAGCAGCCGAGAGCAACGAGACGATGAGAGATAACCGGCTAGGGTTTTTGGATTCAGAAGGTGAGCTTTTACCTGCCAAATGGATTTAAGGATCGACGGCTGGAAGTGATGTTTGGTTTAATAGGGTTTTTGTGATGTGATGTACGGCTGGGATTCGATGTGGACTTTGGGCTGATAACAGCATTCCCAACCGTTTCTGTAATTGTGATTCGACAAGTACAGATTTATTTACTCAGATGACGAATTGAAATTTATTGATTCATACTTCAGGAAAAGGATCTCGCCAGATTATTTTTCAGAAGATCTTAGTCGGATTCCTTTTCTAAGAATCTTAGGGATTTCATGATCGTGATTGTTCATTAGTACGATCAGTTTTTATTAGACATTATTTATAATTTTAAATTTCAAATGATTTCTGACCTTACGATATACGATGAATAATCACGATCACGGAATTCTCATTATTACTTTTCATTATGCAACTTTTTAAAATATTTCATTTTTGGAAAAATGTTGACAGACACATATTTACAGTAAAAAAATGTTTGAAGAGTGGGATAGAAAGGAAATGGATCATCTTCGGATTCCTTCCTTTTAATCTACCAAATCAGGAAATCTGTACCGTTGAAATTTGATTTAACAATTATAAATAGAAGCCTACTTTAAAAGTTATAATAACTTCAACATTAGATCAAATTTCAACGATACGGATCCCCTAATTTATAAAATTAGAAGAAGAGGATCCCTTTCCGGATGGAAAGTCTCTTAAACTTACAGAGTGCAGGACATTCAACTTATTTGACAGCTTTATTTGAGCACAAAAAAATCATACGTAGCACTTAAAATTTAGTTTTGTGGACTCTATTAACATTAATTTTTCAAAAGAAATGATCTTTAAACATCTTGATTAAAAGCGTTTTTAAAAAGAACATTTTTGAATCCCAAAAGCATTTAAAATACTTCCTGAAAAAACTTATAATTAATGCATTTTGCAAGAAGCACTTTTACGTGTTTTTTTACGATTTACTTGCACTTTTGCTATATTAAATCTAAAAACATTTTGATCAAAAATGCTTTCAGCTATTTTAAAGCCACTTCAAACAAGCTCTTTTAAGTAGTGAAGAGAACTTGAGTGAATTTGAGTATTGCCAAGACTAAAAGCTTGCCGAGATCAAAAGCTTTCACTAAAAAATTAATGCACGAGTCCAACACTCGCAGTAGGAAATCAAAACACCCAAAACAAAATAACTTAAATAGCATTGTCAAAACCTCTGTCGCATTTTTAGCATGAAACTCAAAACATGAAAAATGTTCAAATGTCTCTAAATATTCCCAACGAATGCCTTCACTCGTCATCATCGTCATCCTCGTTAGCTGCGTCGTTGAAGGCAGTCAACCTCTCGACCAACTTCTTCTTCCTTTCATCAAAGGTAAGCTTCTTGAGATTGTACCTGTGACACAAACAGAAAATTTCATATAAATAGACACATCAAATGCATGTACATTCAAACAAAGAAACCACGCCTCGAAAAAAACACTCATAACTATGTAACAGCAATTGTTCCAACATGTACCTCTTGTGCTCCGTAGGCGGCTGCTTCTCAGTCTTCTTAGGGGTAGGATCAGCGCGAATGGCAGCATGAACTTTCTTGTACAACTCCTCAATGTTATCTGCTTCAATACCTTTCTTGATATATTCGCTGAAGTGAGTCTGATATTTCTCTGGTTCATCCTCCCCCAAAGTCTAAATAACAAACAATTATAGGTTTCAGCAGGCAATATCCGTAAAACTCGAGAAACAAATAATTAAGTTATGGTAAACAAATATCAGTGAAATTTTAACAGTGAAGTAAAAAGTGATGTTTGGCATAAGCAATCAAAACCCACATTCATGTACGCCGCAACATGGCCTCCATAGATATATTTGCGATGAACCTCAGCGTCAAGCTGTTTGCTATCCTTGGAGAAACCAGCAAACCTCTTCTCACTGTGAGGGATATCTAAACCCCCATCCAAAGCACCCTGTAACCAAATAGCAAAAATTAAATCCCTTTAGCATATTCCGAGAAAATTAAACAGAAAAAAAAATCCATCTCATTCTCAGAAAGAGCATCACATTCATAGCACGGAGAGAAATATGAAAATGAGGTACCGCCAGAGATCAGCAAACAATTTCACAAACATTACAGCATGATACGTTCAAAATTTCAAATCTAAAAAACTTGACTTCATCATAACAAAAAGGTTAAAATGGCAGCATAAACCTGCTACCTTACCTTCAAGGCACCGAATACACGATTTCCTGTGGTGGTCCTGATCAGGCCAACATCAAGAAGGGCACGGAATGGCCTTCTGCTCTCAGCTGGCTCCACAGAGTAGTCCTCACCAGTAGCCTGCAATACCAGATAAATTTTAGAAAACACCTAGAAAAAGAATTCAAAGGGAATCAAATTGAGATTGGGCATACAGATAATAACTACACACTACCTCAACATTGCCCTCATATTCGTCATCCATTTCAAGCTTCTTCAACACACGACGAGCCAAGAGAAGGCCAGTGCAGTAGGCTGATCATTAATATACTGTTATCATCCGACAAGAGGAACTAATGTATGTAAACATAATGGAGAAAGCAATAAATACAACGGCAGAAATACCTGCTGCATAGTTTGTGAGACCAACTTCAAGCCCATAGTGTGGCAGCTCATGAGCATAAGCTGCAGCGAGAACGAGATCACCAGCAATGCTGGCAGATACAATTTGGGCTACAATATCCTTGTTGGTCTAACAACTAGATTAAGGTGAACATCACAAATTACGCAAGTAAAATCATGTTTTACCACCAAAAAATTTAATAAATAAAACATCCATTCTAAATTTATACTCAGTACCAAGATAAGACAGAATCGTTAACCAACCTTAAAACATAATTTTTTTTTTTTATCAAAACACAAATATAAAGTTAAAACTTGAAAAGCCCAAAAGTTAGCTGACAATTTTCAGGATACAAATCGCACAACGAACCGATACTTGGGTGTGTTGTACTTGTTCTTATCTTGGTTAATGAGCCTAATCCTGGCACGGTAGTCGGTCTTCCCCTCTGTGGACAACATTCAAAAAGAAATTATCGTATGCACAATAACAATTTGCGAAATGGAAAAACAATTTATCATGAAACAAATTAATACCTCTCCTTCTCTTATACTTGACTTGAAACCTCTTGAAGTAAGCCCTAGACTTTTGAGACTTGACGAACGGCTATGACAAATAATTGAACAAAATGTTTAATCATTCCTCAAAATTTAAAATACACACACACATATCAGGTCAGTGTTTCAGAAAATTATTCGACAATGCATAGAGATATATTTTAATGAGGGAAAACTTAACAGTACATACTAATCCTAATAAAAATAATCATGGAAACCATAAAGCTCAAATGTTAGATCAATTAATTGGGAAATTGAACATGGACTGAAGCTAGCCCTAATGAAATGCATTTTAAAAAGGAATTGTTATTAGCACTCCAAAAATCTCATTCTACACTCCTCACAAGTGTATTTTTCTTTCTAATTATAAAAGTTTGGAGTGCCAAATGAGACTTTTGGAGTGCTAATAACAATTTCCTTTTACAAATGTACTCTTTAGACTTTAACCAATCTTCGGAGCAGCCAAACAGAAACTATCAAGCTATTTTTTCTGGCACCGAAATTAGCAAACAGACACAAAGTATTTCCGATGGAAGCAAAAAGGACAAAGTGAGGGAGCTCATTATCGCGGAAGAACAGCAGCCGAAAGCAACAAGAAAAAGTGAGAGAGAACCGGCTAGGGTTTAACGTGCCTAATGGATTCAAGGATCCGCAGCTGGAAGTGACGTGTGGTTTGATCGACGGCTGGTTTACAGAAAATTTGTAGGGGCTTTCTATTTATTAAATAAATCAATTTAATCCCAAAAATTATACATAATTGAAACAGAAACATATATTGCCTGGTGTAAAATGAAGAAAAAAATCATACAAAAACAAAGGATACAGAGTCCAGAAGAAAATAAGAAACACTTATCCATTACTCTAATGAATGATTACTGCATTTTATTTACGAGATTAAAAAGTACATAGGCATAAATTAGTTGAGATGCAGGAAACGGAGGCGGAGGGAGGAAGCTCACCATTGTTGAAGATCAGCGGCTGATCGAAAGGAGAGCAACTGAGAGACAAAGACTCGGCTAGGGCTAGGGTTTTTGTAGTCAGTGAGTATTGAGGGGCATTGTAGTCGCTTACTCGTTGGAGTTGAGCCCTGTGGGTTGGATGGGCTACTTCGTGGCCCAAATTTACCTTATAAATGGGTTGAATTGAACCTACAGCTGGGCTTTAGGCAACGCATGCGCCTACAGCGGAAATAAGGCCCATTTGAAACTTCTTAGTTGGGCTTTATTTAGATCTGAACCCTTTGCTTTTATTTTTTTTTCTGTCGGTGCGAACTTTTCAACTCTGCCCATATCTTCCCCGTCTATTTTGTTATAAATTTGGGTCAATCATGAACAAAACGTTTTCGGTCATTTTTAAATCACTTTCAAATGAATTCTAAATAGATATGGGCATATGGTAAATCATCAAATTAAACTTTAATTCTAATTCCCGGAAAAAAAAAAGCAATTAAATTCCATCAAGCAATTGGCTGCACCGAACAATTAAGGGTCGTTTGGATGTATTTTTAAAATGGCTGAAATTGCATTTAGAGAAAATGTTTTTGAATGTCAAAAGCACTTTTAAGTACTTTTTACAAGAAGCACTAGTTATATGTTTCTTCCAAGAAACACTTTTTAAGTGTTTTTTCAGAATTTACTTGCATTTTTACTAAGGATTGGTTCCAAAAACATTTTTACCAAAAGCGTATTCAGTTATTTTAAAAACACATCCAAACGAGTCATAAGTTTACAAAGTTTAGTATACTGGACCAAGTTCCCAGCAAAATATTCTCCAGACTAAGGTCTTAAACAAATCTCATCATATTCTCGCACGACAAAGAGACGTGTTACTGATTTCCTAACACTACATATAATCTCAACGTAAAAATACTACTAACGAATGATTACAACAGCGAAAAATAAAATATGAATGGGGGAATACACAACCACAAATCGATAAGAAAACTAATTCAAACGGCCGAGAGGCTTGCCCATTTTCCAAGTTCGTACGGATCAGCGTAGTAATACAACTTAATTTTATTGGCCAATGACAAGCTTGCAGCCACCGGTACAGCTCTGGAACCAGCATCATCCTGCTCCGTTGGGTCATCAGCAAATGCTCTAATATCTCCAAGCAGTTTAAATATAATTCTGCGGGTTTGTATCTCCTGAGGGAAATCAAAGTACATGGCAGTTCCAGACTTGGCCTCTGGCAAGCGATATTCTGCAATCGTTACGATGCTGTGCGGTTCCTGTAACAATGTCTCCAGTAAGTTATCTTAAAAACACCGTAATCAATATGGATTTACAATTGCGCTAATTGAGCCACATCGAACTACCGTCACAAAAACCTCTTCCATCCTCACCAATCGCGTAACAATAAAGCAGGTGTAGTAAGTACCTGGACAGCAGATACTTGTATATACAGAACGGCTGGAGAGATGTGTCTCTCGTCTACAAGTGCTGCTGACGTATCCCAGATGCGTGCATTTGAAAAGGGTGAATGGGTAACCAGAGGCTTTATTGCACCAAAAGCATCAAGACGAAATCCGGCAAGCAAAGGTGATGCAGGAGAAAGATATTGCTCCAAAATAATATCATTGTCCAACAGCCTCTCAGCCTCGATGGGAACCTGAAAGAACAAAATATGACTATAAACGAAACTGCGTGTAATAAAAAATCAATAATGAATCAAATTTTTTGAATGAAGAAAGCATAGAAACATGATTTTTTTTACCCTAAATCTATTCAGTGGTGGACCTCTCTCCAGCCAGCCTTTCAGATTCATCGGATCGGAGCCTTGTGATGTATCTACCATCTCTTTTTTCACCGGGCTTCCGACTACCAGTATCCTTTTGGCATGAATACAGGGATCTCTTTCAACTTTTCCTCCAAAAGACGCACGCCGAGTTACTTCTGCAAATGGATTTTCATCAAGAGACAAGAGATTCAAGTTGTCCAAATTAAGAGATTTTGAACCAGGTCGTTGAAGGCGTAATGTTATCCAAATAATGCGGCATCGAACTGGATTCCCAAATTCAAACTTCACATGCCTAGGCACTTCATTTTCTCTAACCGACTTTTCTGGTCCATAATATTCTGAGGAAGACGTGATCTGGGACTGCAAATCCCATTTTCCCATGCATGACCTTTCTTCTTTGTGTATTTTATTGCTGGCCCAGATTTGCACCTGTGCGACAGGTGAATTAGTCAAAACAAATACAGACGAAATCAATGTATGTGCAACAAAAAGGTGCAAAATTCAACAATTTACGAACAAAAAGAAGATATACTACAAAGCAAGATTTTCTGAAGACGTTCATTTACCAAATAAAATAAAAATAAAGATGAGAGTGAATAGATGACTTACGGTGGGAGCATCAACCTCAGAATAACCACATGGACTAATAAGCAAAACAACCCCACTAACATCAGAAAGGGTGCCAAGAACAATAACGAACTCAACAGTAGTGGTACTAGGAGGAGCTTTCCAGTATGAATGTCGTGATCCAGATTCAAGAGGAGCAAGCAAGGACAAGAATGGTGCTGAATCTACTCCCGTTTCAACCTAAAATGGTCACAACAATCATGTATAATACTGAAATCCGTAACCAAACAGAGATTGAAATAAGACAAAAGTTTACTGCGGGAACCCTGAAACAAGAAAGTAAAAGAAGTAAAAAAATTACCGAGTGTAAAAAGCTGGCAAATGGAAACTCAGCTAGCGATTCCACACTGCCAAGTAATTTCTGCAGAACTTTAATAGTTCTCGGTCTATCCGGAGACTGATTCCTTTCAGAAAGACAATTCCTTACCGAATATCCAATCACTTGGTTCAAGGCCTCATGGGCAGCAGAATCTGCACGGGCACTTCTCCTCTTGCTTACCAAGACCCTGACGTAGTCCAAGATCAATGCATCAAGCACAGTATCATCGCAGCATCTTTTACAAATAACACTATCCAGCACGACTGTATGATTTGTTGAGACATCAACCTGGACACCATGGCCTGATCCCCCCTGATTTACCACACCATTGTAACTCATGGCCTCCCTTGAGCCATAGCCTGCAACCAGAAGGGCCCCTCTCCCAGCACAGCAAACTTTACAAACTTTCCTTTCACATTGGGAACATAAGAAGAGAGATTGGGAAGAACTCCCCCTGATGATTCCGAAAAGGAAGCACGTGTAGGTGCATTAGTTTCAGCACGCACCTCACACATGCCGCCATAACAGCGCTCACCAAAGCTAGTTATATTCCAAAAATCTATTGCAGTATCATCAGTAGTCTCAAGACCAACAGCAGATGTAATTTTGTCTTCCAAGGATGCTTGTCCAAGCAGTGCAAGGGAGTTTGCAACTCTACACAATCTTCCCATGTATTGTTCATCAAGTAAAACGTTAGGGTTTAGAGTAGCAGGAACAGTTCCTATAGTTAACAAAGCTCTATCCCTTTCAGCAGCAGAAATGTCCAGCCGAAGGCGTTCAATTTCAAGTTTCATGGCTTCCATGAAGTTTAGTTTTTTTTCCTGTAGAAAGTAGGATTCATCAATAGTGGTTCGACAAAAGATTCCAAAGGACATCCTCTTTATAAGGTAAACCGCATAATAGCATAGTGGTTCAAAGAAACAATAGAAGAGTTAGTAGCATACCATACGTGGCCCAGCAATGGATTTCAAACAATCAATGTACTGCTGGGAACTGCTATCTGAAGGTTTTCCATCATGTGATTTATGATCAGTTTCAGCACCATGATATTCAACAATAGCTTGGTCCAAGAAATCAAGCAAGTCACTCTCCGTTGTCCTCAGCATTTCCTATCACTGGTGCAGCAAAGTGTTCTGAAAGCACAACCTCTCCAGTCAATAGGTCAACCAAATTGTTGGCAGATGCACTTGGTTGCACTGGTACCGTCACATTTTCATTAGATGAAGCACCGGAAAATGGATTGGTTTTTGACCCAGAGGAAAAAAGATTGTTTTCATTCTGAAGGTTTTTAGCTTGTTCGGGTAATCTTGCACCAGGGCCTTCGTTAGTAAATACACCCTTCCAAGGAAGAGAAACTCCAAGGACTTCTATCTGCAAACAAATTCACAAAAGAATTATCATCCACTTGCAGGTTCTGCAATACCCATCCTCTCTATACCATGTACCAGAAAATCCAAATGGCTTAAGCTTCAACCAAGCTAGCTTTTCAATTCAGAACCTAAATAACTAACTGAAGAGTCATAAATCAAGGACAATCACATATCAATTAATAATTACACAAGTTGCTTTTTACCTCACCAAAAGTGATAGGGCTCTTTCCAGAGACGGCAGGATAAAATGTAAGGGCAACTACACGAGTAAGGAAGTCAAGTTCTCCTTCCAGTTCTTCAAAATCATACAATAATGGAAGGGTAGATGTATCTTGAGCATGAAGACGTGAACCAGCTCCTGTTACAGCCATATCCTCTGGACTAATTGCCCCTGTTAAGGGTATCAAGAGGTTTGTTCCATTTACACAATGAGGTATCGAAGCACCCTGTCATCAGAATCCAATAAAAGATTAGAAATTTTGGGAGAAATCAGAAATTATATTAACTCAACACAAGTACATTTGCAACAAATGTACCACAATACAAGAAACTAACAAAAAATACCAAAACCAAAGTCATGAACTTCTTTTGTATTCTATATATTTAAGCTTTGGCAACTAGGTCCCTTGCATTTCATGGCTTAACCTAGTTGTTAGTCTTTACATCAGATAGGAACTAAAAGGATCCTCATCTTGTTTTAGCTGGATACCTGGGACCACCAATTCTACATTGGAATAAAGTTCAAAGCAAATTAAAGTTGTAGGAGCAGTGAAAGAAAGATTACAGACCTCCAAGACAAGTTTTAGCCCATCTAAAGAGCGTCCTGTCCTTACATCAACTGTTGATGGATAAGTTGAATCATCTACACCATGGGATATTGTGAGAAGAAGCTGACAAACATGGCAAGGTTCACCTAGATAGATAAAAAGTTCGACAACATCTGCCGCCTGTGGGCAAACCTGTGTGATAAAAACTATTCCAAATAAGAGACATAAAAGGATTCTGCAGAAAAAGACCATCATGGTACAGTCAAATGTTCCACGCAATGAAAACCGAAAGAAAAAGTACCCAGACTAGATCCTTTCTCTTGAAACTCAGAAGACTGGCTCCACCATTGGAACTTGGAAACATGTTAGCAACAGGCTTAAGGAAGAAACCAGATGGTCGAGAGACAACCTGCAAGATCACAATGCTTGGATGAGAGACTTGATGCTATTGCATTTAACAAAAAAGCAAACTGAAAAAAATAAAATAATCATTTACAACTTTCAAGAAAATATCCAACAATTCAATGTAGAGAAATAGTCATGACTCATAACAGAAGTGAACGCCATGCGATGCAATTAACAAATAGAAATTACATGCAATCAATATATAAATCACCATGCAATGCAATTAAATTAGTAAATAAAAGTTCATACAATCAATACATAATCATTATATAAATCATGAAAGCCAGAATCTATGGAACTCAAAATGCAAAGGTATTAAACTATGATCAGATCTAAAACCAAGAATCACAGGAAATTCCAGGGAAAGCCAACATTTTGGGAAGAGACACCAGTCTGTAATCTAAATCTGATGCCCAACCCAAAATCAATAGAGCATTTCCTACAACGATCAAAACCACTGTTACATTTTACAAGTAACAAAAGGGCCTTCCAATATGCAGCTGGTGATTCCATCCATTTGTAGTTAAATGGGTTGTGCTAACTTAGAATAACTTTTAAATTAATCTACGGCAGTTAAAACCTCTTGTTGCAACTTGTTAGATGAACCTAGCACAAAAAGAAGCATAAAATAAATGAAATTATTATCACTAAAATTGATCCAGAGCAGTCCCAGAATAACATACGTTAAGAGGGTGAAAAGAAACTGATGGAAGATGCTTGAATAGTCTCATGCCAAGAAATATTTCCAGTTGCTTTTGACGAGAGCTGTCTACAACTGCATTTTTATATCTCCGCTGCAAAGTAATTTTCATATTCTGTGCTGCAGAAAATTGTTTGAATTTTCCTGCATCGTCATTGAAGATGCTAAGGATTTGGCTATGCATAGCTTTCGAACCGGTATAAAGTGTTGCATGAATATCACCCGCAAGCAGAAAAATATCAGCAAGCTGGGATACCGGTGATAAAATTGTTGACCTCTTAAATTCCTCAAATGCCATATCAAATCTCTTCCAAGGTTTATCGGGACACGGATGCGTCCATGTCGTGGTCCTAGTATTGTGATCAATATAAAAAGTTTTCCCTGTTACTGCATCAGATCTCTTCTCCCAGCCTGGTGGCAAAGGAGCAGTATAGCCACCATAATTACTCATTGACTGATAACCAAATGCCAAATCACTATCAAGTGATATACAAAGCCGCCTACACTGCTCCACGAAAACCTGGAGGGAGCCAAAATAACTTGCAGCATTTGTCCTATCCAAAGAATCAGCACAGTTGAAGCGTATCACACCATTTTGACGTGATCTTAAGCAGAAGGCGCCTTCAAAGTCATCATTGTAGATAATTTCTCCTCTGCAGTCCTTAATTCTTTCCCGCAAAGGCAAAAAATCTCCTTCAGAAATGCCTACGGAAACAGTGTGTGCTTTTAGATGTTTCCATAATCCTTCAATGGTTTGCTGTTCACCTTTTAATTTTATACTGGCATGCCAGTCATAATTTATCAAGTGAATTCGAGTATAAGGAAGTTTTCTAGTTGACTTTATGTAGTTTAAAGATTCCTCAAAATGTTGAACTAAAATACGTTCTGACTTTCCTTCTTCACTCCTAAGCAAGTTGATGCATACAATTGGCACAAACGCTTTTCTATTCCGACTCCCCCCAACGGCTACATCAAAATTTCGTGCATCATACCTCTTACTCAACCTCTGGTAGTACTCCGAACTTCCTTTATAAGGATCACTATCCGAAACGTATATTTCAGCTTCTGCAGCAGTAATCTTTAACTCTGCACCCCACCAAATTGGAATTGTGCCGCGTCGCCACATGTATGTGTTAAAAGGAACAGTTTGACCAGCCCTTCTAGGGACCCATACAAGTTGCTCACACTCCACTTCATTTCCTGTCAGACGCACATTCTTCATAAGTATGAAAAGTTCACTTAAAACATAAAGTAAAACGAGAATGTTTTTCATTTAGAATGTAAATTCGTACTCCTAAATGAGAAGAATACAAATTACAATGTGAAGCCTTCTAAGCAAAAAATAAAAACGAAAAAGAAACACCATAGGTTAATGAATTTCATAAACAAAATATCAATATGTTGTTTTTCTAAATTACTTTCTATCCTCAATATTCTGAGAAACTCCACTGGAAGTCATTGACAAAATGACACAACCATGCGTATCTTCAAATATTAAAAGTTTGAGAGTTGTAAATAACTTAATAGGTCATGTTACCTGTGCTAAAACAAGAATTCAATCCCCTAGCCAAGTACCGAGTACCAGGATGCAACCTACTACGACGAGCTATGAGAGCAACAATTCCGTCCACCTTCCCTAAGGTTCCAAAAGTTCGACACTCCGCAAAACCCTACACATTAATATCAAGTAAGAGAACAGTATGAAAGGGTTAACTTTACATCTAATCACATAATTCCTCATGCTATCTTCAGATCTTAACAACAATTTAGCTTCTTCTTTTGCTCAGTCATAATCAATGAAGGCAAAATTGAGCACCTATCATAGATAAGTTCAACAACTTGTTGCCTAATATAATGGTTATGAAATCTATGCCACTATCAGTGGTAAATAATATGTACTAAAAGAGCTGCATAAGTGCGTATAAATTTAAGTACAAGTAAAAGCAGAGTTGAACCAGTTGGCTATAATTAGCATATCATGCATAGACTTGCACAATCACCATCACTAAATCGAGGTACTAGGGTAAGAAATCAGATAGTTAGATAAGGATCAGGTGAAAGAAGATAATAGTCAGATGAGCATCAATTTGAAGATACCAAGGAAGAAGCAAAACCTGCAGAAGAGTGACACAATGCTGCGGCAACCCAATGTTTTTGAAAGGCATCGAGAACCAGGTGTTCCAAACAAATTCATCATCAGGCTCACGCAAGCACATACGGCTAGGAAACGGTCGAGTGATATCCCTTGCCTCACAAAAGTAGTGCTTCCCATTAATGTCAAGATCAGTTAATTCATTAACATTCTTTTCTTCTCCTTTCCCTTGTGGTTGTGGATTCTGAAGTTGAATCTTGATCCATTGGCTCTCAGTCACCGTATAAATGCACCCTCCACCAGGCAAATTCGGGACACTAGCAGTCAACTTGGTGGCCACAAGAAGCAAACCAATGCTGCCCAAAGAAGCATAACCTAATATTGCATGCGCATAGGTCGTACTCCTACACGACCAGTGTGATCCGTCTGTAATGTAATCCAATGCTTCCTTTTCGGATTTGAAAACATCAAATCCTGGCTTCGCATTGTAGCGAAGCACTCCAGTTGTGGGATCAACATGTATAACCTGAGTGTCGAGCCTAGAAGACAAACTCGCAATTATATATACTTCACCAGTATCCAATGTCACAACTATAACAGATGTCTCCCTTATACCACCACCTGTAACATAGTTAAAATAAAACAGAAAGCATAAGCAACCTTGCAAAGAAAGAGAACTGTATGACTCTGCGCACCATCACAATACACACACACCTCAGAGTGTGTGTACGCATAGGGCGCTGTTATTAGCACTCCAAAATAGTCATCGTCCACTCTTCCGTAACAAAAGGTCGAAAATAACTATTTATATTCATGCAACAACCGCAACAATAAGAATTCAAATGTCAATTTAACAGACAAAATTCAGAGTGTTAAGGTGTTTTAAGCTATCAGAATCCGATTCGAAATGCAACAAACACACAGACATGAAATGAAAAGCTCGCAAGCAAAGAATGCAAACTAAGAGCATACAATCTATATACACACACACATACGCAACACATAATCGAACAGAAACTAATTATCAAGCTGAAAGCGAAAGAAGTGATAGAGGTCGCATTCGAAATTGAAAAGCGGTGGATCGCATCGCATCGCATATGTTACCAGCCGATTCCATGCGATCTCTTCCGTTAATGCGCGTTGCTGGAGGAATTGGATCTGACGGAGAGAGGAATGATACTACTGAAGGCGCCGGAGAATTGGAACAGCAGGCATCGAAGGGCGTCGATTGGATGCGCTCCACTCGGCAGAACTAACCGCTTCTTCGGTCTTACAGAATTGGCATCGGAAAAAAATGACGTCACATAGGCAGGCACAGAGGAAGATAACGATGACTTGTTTTCTAAGGGGTGTACCACTTTTTTGTTAATAAGTTGTTTATCTATTTATTTTTGGTACTAATTTGTTCTTATTGAAAACATTTGTGTTTCCCTTTTTCCCAAAAGAACAACATTTTTTTTTTTTGTGTTTGTGTTCGTCTCAAAACAACAAATAGAAACGGAATAAGTACATGTTTTTTTTTATTAACACTTTTATTTATTTTTTTGAGATGAGTTTATTTTCTCACTTAGAAATAATGTACTTTATTAAATAAATTTTATAATCGAAATCGTTTAATCTCTTAATCTTTATTTAAATACTATTCTTATAAAAAAAAATTATTTAAATTAAAAATTAGTTTAGTCATCTAAAATATATCAAATAAATGAATGATTCATCGTACATTCTAATTTTTTTTTTTTCCATTAGGTTTATTTAAAAATTGTTTTTAATCAATATGACAACTTAGAGCCAAATTGTGAATTTAGGTCTGAGTTTAGGCAAAAAATTGAAAACTAAAAACTAGAATAGTTATAATATGATCCCTAAAAACTCAAAACATGTTTCTGTTCAGACGCACTGGTCCTTGATAAGCCCCAAATCCGCAAAAATACATAAATTACCTCTCAAATCTTAAATGTTGTAGACTTTGAACACTGAAAAATTTAACTGGCATTTGATAACCATGTCATTGACTCATTATACAAATAGATGCACACTTGAAAAGAAACTTCTCCTCGATTACATTATGATACTTGATGTATCGGATTGTGTTCTCGGTACATTAAAAATCTCTTTTACGTTAATATTTTGTAGGTCATTCGATAATTGATGACAAGTAAACATGTCTTAAAATAATGAAAATTATTGATAAACCTACAGTGTATGGACCATTTTATAATAATTTTTTTGGTTTTTTTTGTAACATATTATCCCTTATGTTTTGTCAACTACCCGTTTAGTCTTTTGTGTTTCTAAACTCATCAATTTCTTTTTTTTTTTTTTTCAGTTTTACTCGACGAATTTCATCCTTAATGTCAAACATGGTTAAGTTTTTAGTTATTATGCAAACATGTCATGCATGTGGAGCCCACAAACCCAATGGTCTAGCACCGCTTCGATAAACAAAACAAAAAAATGATAGGTAGACCAATTTTTTAGATCACATTTACAAATCATGTAATGTATCATAAATAGAAAACAAATATGTTAATCAATATTTAAATAATAATTCAATCACTAACACTCATATTATATAATTTTAAAAGATATTATTCTTAGCATTACCCATCAGAAAAAAAAAACATAAATACCTCCAAAATAGAGAAAATCGCGAAATATATAAAATCCGGTAAAATCGAGTATTTTTCTGTTAAATGAAAAAAAAAAGTAAAATGCCAAAACTCGCGGGCAAGAAAACTGAATACGGGAAAGTACAGGGACGTTGCGCCAAAACCCCACAAGAATGCCAAAAACAAGTACATGTCCCCACCGAAAAACGAGAGGCAAAGAAGAAGGTATTTCATTGGACGATTTTATTCGTCATATCATCATTATCTTATTCTTTCCTCCGACGATTCCATATAAATCGAAAACCCATTTTTCTGATGACTGTAGCAAGAAGAAGCCGCAGAAGTAATAATTTTCTTTGCAAAAACACTTCCTTTTTTATGCAATTTAACGTTAGTTTAGGGTTATTTTAGCAAAGTGTTGGTGGAATTTGATTGTGTTTGTTGCTGAATAATTGAGTTTTGGTACGGCAATGCTGCCTGTTTGCTCAGCCACCTCAAGCTGTTCTTCCCATTCTCAGGTAAGATGTACATGCTCAGTAAGCAAATTTTTTCTTTAAGATTACCTCATCCAAACACACCCTTAAGGTTCGTATAGTCACGCTGAAGTGAGTTAAGTCAGTTAATAGGTCGGGCCTATCAGATTAGAGTAGTCTAGAATATCGCTTTTTCAGAAGAAAAAACGACTTTTTTTACATATAAGTACAAATAAGTGTCAATTAAAGTATGACAAGTGGATAAAATGATGGGGCTTTCGCACTAATTGAGCTCGTGAAGTGTTTTTGTATAAAACTTATAGTTCTCGGGTGTTTTTTTCCAATTTATTAGGGGGGAGTGGAGAGTTGATGTGGTTTGTACATATTGAAGCATGTTATGATCAGCTTGTGGTGGCAGAGAATTTGAAACAGCTAATTTTGTTTGACATTATGTCATATTTGTGAAACATTTTTGGTCAAAGTTATTGTGAAATTCCGAATTTGAAATTTACATGTGTGCAAATGAATTTCCCAGATTTCCATTCATGGAGGGTTGAATGCCAGTTCCCAGTTCCAGAAGGATTTTGAAGCCAGATACATTATGGGATGCAGGGGCTCTCTGGGCTTGTCAAAGGCAATGCCTTTTCAAAGAGATTTCTTTAAAGCACACGCTACAAAGTCGTTGTATTCGAACTTCGTGAAAAGCACAGAACAATCCGTCTCTGTGGATTTTGTTAACAGGTGTTCCCACTCATATGAACCAGACCATCTCAAGTGCAAGTATTCAGACGTGTGGAGCTCTTCTACTGGAACCATGTATGAACAGCATCCGCCGGGAAGGGTGGAACTGAAGTTTGTAGACAGCTCTAGCCTATTGGCTCCTGATGAGGGACTCGTGGACTTTACTAATCCGTCAACTGAAAATGCAAGTGTCTTACCGGCAGCTGTAGAACCTGAAAGCTTATCAGCTACTGATTTAACACCGGGGAATTCCACCTCTGTGCCTGACTCCCTAGATGTGGATAGTGATCGATTATCCAGTGTGAAAACTAGTATTGAGGATTTTATTGATGGGGTTAGCAAGTCTTTCAGTGCTTCAGTAGACAAGGGCGAAGATATAGTTAAAACCTCTGTAGATACAATCACTTCATCATTAACATCTGTTGTTAAAAGTGCTACCGAAGCAGTGGATAATACTGTTGGCGGATTGTTTTCAGCAGTGGATCAAACGGGACAATATGGTGGTAGTAAAATGACAAAATTTTCAAGCGACTTTAAGGAAGCCACAAGTAAAGGAGCTGTTGTTGCTATTGATGTCTTGAGACGTTCAATTGTTGTGGTGGAAGATTCTCTATCAAATGGGGCTTCCTTTGCTGTTAGTTCTTACCAGTCTGCCAAGGCCTTTCTCCCTCCTGACATCAGTGATGCGCTAAATTTGTCTGAAAAGAGAGTTGCAGAGTTCTTGGGGCCTGCCAAAACTGCTTTTCAACAGGTATTAATCGTACACGTCCATTATATAGGGCTATTTGTTTGAGCTGTAAAGGAAAATGAATTGTGGTTTGCAGAGTTGTACATTATTCTAAATAATTTGTAAGGTTCAAACTGGTTCTCTGAAAGAAAAAAAAGGCCGGTTAGTTGATTTTGGTTGGATGCTTTTTTTTTCTTCCAAACCATCATCCCCACTTTGTTATAGTTTCCTGTATATTGTGTTGACAACTTATGCTGGAAAGTATACTTTCCGTTATAAGCTTACATTATATGTTCAATCATTTATATCCTGAGTTTGCCGCTTTTGTAATGACAGTTTTCTAAGTAATAGTGTCAGCTGAATCTGAATCTGTTGAATGCAGGTTTATATTTCGATTGAGGGGTTGGAGGAAAATCTTGGCTTGGACCCAAATGATCCGGTCATTCCATTTGTTCTATTTCTTGGCACCTCGGCCACTTTATGGTATGGATATCCTTCTGTTCTAAATGAAGACTGCTTTTCCTTTTCCATTTGTACATAAAGGATTATAAGTATCCTGCTGTGTGAGAAATTTATATTTCTTATCAGATATGCTGCAGGGTCATTTATCGGGTGTGGACATACAGTGGTTACGCTGGAGATTTATCTCCTCAATCGACATTGGAGCTCTTGACAGGGAAAGAGAATGCTGTGCTCATTGATGTCCGACCTGAGGCAAGATATTGCTTACTTTTTGGCCTTTATATTTGGTTGTGCTGATGATATTATCAAAATTTTGCCTACGGGGGCTGGATAAACCAAGAATCATTTTAACTGCCTAAAGTAAAAAACAACGTCCAGTGTTCAAATTCATGCTCCTTTGTTCGTTCTATGATAGAATAAAAGCAAATTCTTCTCACCCTCAGTTTAAAGTATGACTTTAAATACTATTGCCAAGTGTTTGCTTCTCAAATTTGCCAATGATTGGATCTGGAATTTCCATTATGAAGGTTCTGAGAGAAAGAGAGGGGATTCCTGATCTTCGACGAGGAGCTCGCTTTCGCTATGCAAGTGTGTCCCTACCTGAGGTTGGCTTACTGTTAGATTGCAATTTTTTGAAGATATGAATGACATAATCGAATTACATATTTGCTAGGGTGAAAACAGTCATATCCTCCTCTCCATATACTTTTTGTGCCTTTGTTCTGAACTTGTTGAACAAAATTTCAGGTTGATGGCGCTGTATGGAAATTAGTGAAGAGTGGAAGGGATCTTAATGACACCTTAACTGCTGCTGTTATTAGGAACTTGAAGGTTGTTCAGGTAAGCAGTTTCAGGCTTTTATATGCCTTAAAACTATACCAAGATAAAAGTTCTTATTTGAATCTTACTAAAAGTTTACAGGAAGATCTTGGACTGGGACCTACCAATTCTCCGTTCTTTAGCGATGGTAACATATTTGGTGACCATGGACACCTGAAAGTATCTTAGACTCTCCACCTGAAGAACTTCAATCACAATTTTTTGGCCAACAAAAATATGAGAAAGGAAATTCTAAGGATAAAAATCATTCGATTTCAAGTTTTTAGCACTGCCCTGGTGACCTTAGGTATATTATCATATTTTTCCAAGGACTCGAACAGGGTTGTACGCTCCTAAAAGAACTTCCACATCTGACAGCAGGATCTTATGCCTAAAACTATTGGAATGTACGATGATTAGCATCTGGTTTGAGTAATGAATAATGAATATTAGCATCTGGTTTTGTACTCTGTGTAGGACAGGTCCAAGGTCATAGTTATGGATGCTGATGGTACTCGTTCCAAAGGTATTGCAAGATCCTTGAGAAAGCTTGGGCTCAAGGCAAGTATATAATGCAGGATAAAGATTCATATTTTAATTAACAAAATCATTAGGACTTTTCTTATGGTAACTCGTATGTCTCGTAAGAAAACCACTCAATGCATCTAAATTTTTGGTAGTTCTGGAATCGCAGAGCAATTTCGTAGATACTAACACCTTGAGATGTTTAAATTACAGAAACCGTACTTGGTTCAAGGTGGCTTTAAGTCTTGGGTGAAAAATGGTCTCCGTATTAAGGAACTCAAACCTGAGACAACATTTACCATACTCAATGAGGTATTTATCACTCTGAAGCTGTTTATTCTTGTAAATTATAATAAATACAAAAGATGATAATATGCTGGTTGGTGAACTTCTACGATTGACATCTAATTCCCTTGATAATATCTGATGCGATTGCTTCCTTTTTAACAACATTGTTGGACTGCACTGGCTGAGGTTCTCTTGTATGTAACGTGGACCCATTTTTTCTTTACTTTGTTTCAAAAATTGTATCATTTTAGGAAGCTGAGGCAATTCTGGAGGATATCAGTCCTTCTCCGGTGCAAGTTCTTGGGTCTGGTGTGGTAAGACAAATTGTCTTCATTAGTTTCTACTTTCTACTTTATAGTGATCCATCTTTTGTATTATGGAAACTGGATTTGTTTTGTGTTATAAAAATGTTTAACTGCCATGCAATTTCAAGTGCATTATTTGCTAACTTATGCAACTACCTTCTGTGCAGGGATTGATTGCAGCATGGTATGCACTAGTAGGTGTGTATATGTGCCTTAAATTTATCTCTATAAAGAAATTGGATTGCTTATAGGGCACATCGAAAGTGAAGTTTCATTTTAAGATATACCAATTTTTACATTCATTTTTCCTTCGCTTCTGCCGGATTTCTTCTCCATCTCTAATTAGCATGATTCATTGTATTACAGAGTGGGAGAAGACATTACAACTGATTGGCAGTTGTTGGTGTTGGTCAGGTATTATAATCTTCCTAGAATGGGTGCTTTAGTTTTTAATTCTTCCCCTTTCTCGTTGCTCATTTCTTTTATTCCACCAGACCATTTATCGGCGGGTGGCATCTTATGAGACCGCAGATGATTTTAAGAAAGATGTGAGGTAAAGCTAACTACATGACGCCCAGTAGATTGTTTCTTCAAACAGCCAAAAACCACGTTATTTAGATTGTGCTGATTCATGTCGTTTTATTGTGGCCAGCTATGTTATTTTCCTTGAAGGCTGCTGCTTTCTCCTGTTAGACTGGGAGCTCAGGCACTTTCATGGACTGCAGGAAAATTGGAATCAAACGGCATTGGACTGCCAACATCTCCTTCATCCTCAGATGTCAAAAACCGAGTATTGCAGGCTGCTGCAAAGCATGAATCTCAACCGTCTGATACAGAAGGCATCCAAGATCCATCTCCTGACTCAAAACTTCCAATCAAAGAGAATGCTGATCTGTCAGAAGCATAAACGTTGATATTTTCTTGCAGTAGCCTGCACTACTTCAATAGAACCTCGCGTTCTAACCCGAAAGTCGATCTGAGCTGTATTAGCAAGCTAATGAAGGTTACTTAAGCTAATTAAGTGATAATTCTGTTAGAAGATACACTCTGAATTAAGGTTGTGCAAAATTATTAATATTATTGTTATTATTATTATTATTAATATTTTAGACTCTTCTTTCTGTGGTTCACTAAAAGTAAGTGTCGTATAAGAATCAAGGATGCTTGTTGAGCAAGGAGACTGACAGTAACCAACGTGACAATTCATAAGGCAACTTTGACAAGTTGGCTCTCTCAAGTTTACTCAGTATACAAGCCAACTCTCTAAAGACAGTAAGACCCCCTATTTTAATATACATAGGCGATGTTAGTGATATCATGCGAGATCGTCCTCACACTCATGTGAGTTGAATGCGAGACATATTATAGTTAAATTTAGACGAATGTGACACCTCCTTCAATCAAATGAAATGATTACAACTACCATTAAACTTCAAATGTCAGTTGATATCATACAAGGACTTGTTTTCTTCAAAACTTGATTTTTTTTTCTTTTTTTGGCTTTTTAGTTAAAAATGATCATTGAAATTAGTATAACTCTTTACTTTGATCCATGAGATTTGAAATTAATAGAACTGTTTATCAAGTTTGTCCACCTTTAATCATTTTGGTCATTCCGTGATAAATCTCCGTTTAACGAGGAAGAAAATGACAAAAATATTCTTAGTTTTTATTATATCATTTTGGGCCATTCCTTTTTAGATTAAAAGTATTTTTATCATTTGATCCTTATTTTTTCATAGAATGATCCAAATAATTATTAATGGACTAATTCAGGAACTACTTATATCAATTTCAAATCTCAAAGACCAAAGTCATGAGTTATACCAATCTCAATTATCATTTTGAATAATAAAAAAAAATTTTTTTTTTGGGATTTTGGTTCAAGACAAAAAGACGAATCTCTGTTTTGTTAGCAACAGAAAGGTTTCTAGAGATGACATGTATAGACGAAAACAGTTTCGGTCACGACCAAGAAAATATTGGTAATAATTTCGATGAACTGCAATTGCGGTTAAGCTTTTTTAGGATTCCGGCAGCCCCAAGAGTTAAAGTCTGTTCCCATGTGAAGGAGGATTAAAGCTCAAATAATTAAAGTGCGTTTAATTTTATATCCAATATTTTGTACTTGAATTTTTCTCTCCAGTATCGTTCAACTATAGTAACAAATAAATTTGTGAAGTGAACACGATGTCGGGCTTGTCTTCGGTAGTTCAAGGTCTAACTTTTTCGGCAATTTTTAAAATGTGATTTTTTAAAATCAATTTAATATTACGTTCATTTTTTAGGATTTTTTTTTCTTTCTCATTTCCTCATTTTCTATTTGAATGATCATTATTAAATCACGTTAATATTTTATATTAATTTTTTTATAAAAGAAGAAAATCAAAATAAAGAACTGTGAGAAAAGATGATGGAACATGATGAAAATAGAAAAGATTGTTCCATTTTTATGGAAAGAACTTGATTTTAATCAAAACTTAGATATGTATCCATTTGTAAGTGAGTGGGTGTGACCGTTGAATTCTTCAACACCCAAGTAGTGTTCATTTTTTATACTATTTCTGAAAAGAAATCGAATTATATCCTATCTTTTGGCCCGTTTTCCAAAGATGACAAAGACGGATACCAGGTCAGACTTGAAGATACGGTGGTTTGCCAGCAAAACAACCAGAGCCAACCTCCTATTTCTCTCAGCTAAGCTCCTCCTCTGTCTTTCTCTCGAGTCTTAGCCCAGAAAAATGGCGAAACCCCGATGGGATTCTGCTCTCAAATGCTTGATCATCCTCCTCAATCTCCATCTGGGCAGTGTTTTTTCAGCTCCTCCGGCCAACCCATTTGCCCAGCAGAAATTGGACAGAGTTGCCGAGCTCCCAGGGCAGAGCTTCAACCTCAGCTTTGCCCACTTTTCTGGGTACGTCCCTGTCAATGAAGAAACCGGGAGAGCTCTTTTCTACTGGTTTGTCGAAGCTGCCGAGGACCCTCACTCCAAGCCCATTGTTCTCTGGCTTAATGGAGGTCCACCCTTCAATCTTCTTTTCTTTTCTTTTTTTTGCATCAAGCTCCAATTTTTTTGCATAAGGCTTCATTTTTTTAAATCTTTGTGCATATAGCTTCTCATTTTTCTTTGCGATGGTGCTGCTTTGACTTTTGTTTGCTGCTAAAATTTGGCATGTCCTTCCATTTTGTTTAATATTTGGAATACATTTCTGGGAAAAAATTGTTTTTTGAGGTGCCCAAAAATCTTTTGAGCGTTCGGATGAACTTTTTAGGTAGAAAGTTGATTAATTTCCTATTCATTTGCTTGTGAGTAGTTTTTTCTTGAGTTTTTGTTGCCAATTTGCTGTTTCTTACTTGGTATAGAATTTTGTTTGAATGGTTTCTGACCTCCTTAGGACCTGGATGCTCATCCATTGCGTATGGTATGGCCGAAGAAATTGGCCCGTTTCATATCGAGGCAGATGGGAAGACCCTGTATTTGAACCCTTACTCTTGGAATCAAGGTGAGAAGCTTTTCATAACTATGTTCAATTACATGAGCTAAAATGTACCGCTACGAAAAGGTATAGCTAAAATGTACCGCTACGAAAAGGTATCAGCTAGACCGCTAGAGGTTTTGGGTTGTACTATCTGTGAGGAATGTTACAAATTGTGTACTTATCAGTTACGTCTATGAATGATATGTATTGGTCAGGAGTAGGGTATATTTTCAGAATGATGAAACCATTTCTTATTAGTTCTTTGCAGATACATTCTATGCAAATGCCTAATTCCTTTTACATTGTTTGCAGTTGCTAACGTTCTATTTTTCGATTCACCTGTTGGAGTTGGGTTTTCTTATTCGAACACTTCTTCTGATTTGCTATCCAATGGAGATAAAAGGACGGGTACTATCTCATGTCTAATTGTTATGCTTCAAGCGATTTATGTTGTTAGTTTATGCACGTCAGTTTATTAATTTCTGTTGCTTTGCAGCCAATGATTCTCTAACATTTCTATTGAAATGGTTTGAGCGCTTTCCCCAGTACAAGGGACGAGACTTTTACATTACAGGAGAGAGCTACGGAGGTATATTGAACTTATGTTCTTTATATTAATGTAATATAGATAATTATTGTATTTTGGTGTATTATTTATGACTTGATTGGTTCCGTCTTGTGTACCAGGACATTATGTTCCTCAGCTGAGTCAAGCAATTGTAAAGTACAACTTGAAAACTAAGGAAAAAGCAGTTAATCTGAAGGGTTATATGGTATATGGACTACATGCTTTTCTAAGGAAAAGGTTTGGGATATTTTACGTTGTTTAAACACATCGAAATAACAAAGTATATTTGTTTTGCAGGTGGGAAATGCTCTAACTGATGATTACCATGATCACTTAGGCGTTTTCCAATTTATGTGGTCGGCTGGTTTGATTTCCGATCAAACTTACAAGTTGCTGAACCTTCTGTGTGACTTCCAGTCATTTATACACACCTCAAATTCATGTGATAATATTCTTGACATTGCTAATGCGGAACTTGGAAACATTGACCCTTACAGCATCTACACTCCTTCATGCCCTGCTAATGTTAGCCAGTCAAATGGGCTGCGGAAACGAAGGAATGTGAGTGCACAATAAACTTCCTAGTAAACTGCATTCGAGTTCATCTCTTACTTTAAAGTTCTTAATGAATCAAGAATTTCCTTTCTTTCCAAAAAGATTATGCTTGCAAGATTATTATCATACTGATGCCGAAATGTGATTCCATTTGATAGACGGTTGGCCACATCAGTCAGAAATATGATCCTTGCACCGAGGCACACTCAGTTGTATACTTCAATCTACCTGAGGTTCAAAAGGCACTTCACGTTGATCCAGATCACGCACCATCTAAATGGGCAACATGCAGGTAATCAGTTGAAAAAAGTGCTTCATGCTTTTGATTGCATTAGAACTTTCGGTTTCTAATGAGCCAGTCCTGAAGAGCATTGATGGCTCAAGACTTTAGGAGCTTTGGCTAACCGTATTTGCGTCTACTAAATATGGACTTTGATTGAATAAATTGTAATGGTTAAGAAGGTGAAGAATACATTGAAGTTTTAGTCAACCACCATCTTTGCCTCCATCTGTGGGTGGTGGAGCAGAAGCTGCGTAAAAATTTCTTGCCTGCAACTGGGATATGTTATCCTAATTTGCATCTGGAATTTAAACAATGTATAAAATTTTGTTTTCCCTGCTTATGTTAGGTGGAAAGGTTTACATATTATTTAATCCCATATTTTGCTGTTTTGTAGTGATGTGGTAAGTATGACTTGGAAGGATTCTCCTAGGACAGTGTTGGACGTTTACAAGGAGCTGATACATTCAGGACTGCGTATATGGATGTTCAGGTCCCTCTCATCACATTGCTGATATAGATTCGATGCTTCTTTAAATTTTGGGATTAGTTCCAAAAAATATAATTAACTTCACTCAATCCTTTTGTTTTTCATGGTCGTTATATAAACAGTATGGAATAATGTGTCGATTGTAAAGGAGGCATTTTCGGCACATGGTTTGGGAATACCATTTTTGTATAGTTAACTTGCTGGTACTCATCCTACTTTTGCTGTTTTTCCATCTTTGGCAGTGGTGATAATGACGCCGTAATCCCAATTACATCTACCCGATACAGTATAGATGCTCTTAAGCTTCCAACTGTCAAACCTTGGCGTGCAGTGGTACGATGATGGGCAGGTAAAGAACCTCTGGGAACTATTCTCTCCCCATTAGAAACAGGATACGAATTAAAATTCTTGTTTCAAACATAGAACTATTACTTTGAAACTACATATTACACCTAGAATAGTTTTTATCCTTCAAAAACAACATGATGTAATACAGTTACTCCTCGTTAATTAACAGGTTGGAGGATGGACACAAGAATATGCCGGGCTGACATTTGTGTCGGTGAGGGGAGCAGGCCATGAAGTTCCTCTGCACAAACCCAAGCAAGCTCTCACACTCATCAAATCCTTCTTGTCAGGATCTTCAATGCCAGCTTCTGAACAACTTATCATGCCAGCATCCGAACAACTTATCAGCGACTCGTGAAGGTTTCATTTCGCACTCGGTGCTGAATGAGCAGGAAAAATTCATCTACTGTAAGGCTTGGTTACTCATGTCTCCTTTCAAGACGTCGTTGTAAACTTAAAAAAAAGACGGGAAAAAACTGGTGTGACCGTCAACGTAGAAGTTGGAACAGGCTGTGCCTGTGCCCTTCAATAATCATAGTGCAAACTGCTATGCAAACTTGCCCCTTGTATCCTTAAGATTGTCACCCCTCGATCCCTTTCTTTTTTCTAGTAGCCTTGTTAAAATATTTTAATCTGGCTTTGACTAAAAGGATGCCTTTCAAATTTGAATCTTCATTGTGGTAGTTTGGATTTTAGAAAGTCGCTTAAAAATTTTTTTTTAATTTGATGTTGGTTGGATGCACAAGTGCCATTTTGCATAAGGATCAATGTTCTATTTAGGTTTATAGTATTCATGCATTCGGGTTCAGAACTTCCTGTTCTTCAAATTAATGTAATAGCTTTGTGTTCTCTGTCTTGAGAAATTTTTAGTGTGCTGGTAACATGGTCTTGGTACATCAAGTATTGTAATATAAATGATTAAATCACTAAAGAAAAAAAAAATTAACCGCTTATATTACACGATTTATATCAAGCACATTGAAATATTTCTTCTTTCCGTTTCCTTCAATTGAGTTCTCATCTCAATTATGTTATTAATCACTTATATTACGACACTCAGTATACTGATTCATATCCAGCACACTGAAAAATTTCTCCACCTCTCCCCCTTAGTTCGGTTCTCATCTCAATGCTGTTTAATGTTCAAAAACGTTCATCCCTAAGGTCACTTTTTAAAGATCGTTAGATGACAAACGACTTTAAGCAGATAATGTGGCCTCTACCCTTAAATTACCAAAAAGGTAAGGGACTGATTGGCAAATAGCTTCAAAACAAGTTAGCTTCTCACGTGCGGGGCCTTATCACGTGTAAGTAAAATATCAAACAAGCACACCAACCAAATGAACCACACAGGGCGCAGGAAGAAGATGATGCCCAGATGCTCTGTTCAATCGACCGACGCTCAGCTCTTCCAGAGCATAAATGGCCTCCAACAGCTTGCCGAAACGCACCGTTTCAAGGTTCGCTTTGCTATCCATTTTCGCTTTCCTTTCACCTGATTATTCGTTTTCTTTAAATTACAAATTCAGATTTTGCCTGAAATCTCCTCTCCTAGCTTAATCCAAGTTTTATGCATAATTAAGCACAACAAAAAAAATAAATAAAAGGCTTTTGGGTTGGCTATATGAATCCTAGAATGTTATTGTGCTCGGTTTTGTGTCACGTCTTTCGTTTGTTCCAAGTAATCTAAGTCTTTTCTTAGAGTCACTTCCAAAGTCTTCCTAGTTTTCCTCTACTCCTTCAATCCTGAATTCCGTAATTAAGCACAAATAGAACTTTTTACAAAACTTGGATTAAAAAAAAAAGAACTTATTCAGTAAATGGAAGCTAAATAATTAATAAAACACGTTTTAGTGTCCTGCCATTGTCCCTTCGATAAAGACGATCTCTGAAAATTCATTCACTTTGGAGACCGTTGAGCTATTCATATGTGTCGTCGACGATGGTTATGTTAACAAGTGACATCCTCAGATTGAATCGTCAATTTGTTTGATACATATGGATGATTGAACGGTCTCTGAATCAAGTGGTCTCTGGATCAAATAACTTTTTCTAGAGATTGATCTTTAGATGACGATGAAGGGAATGAACAGTTTGTATGATAAAACTATGGCATGTCACCATTGGAGGAGGAGTGATTTCTTACATGTAAGCAAAGCATTGCCAATTGTGAAAGGTTCTAGTTTTGATCGAAAGATTTATTAGAAGTTCTATATGTGCGTATTTTCGTTGATTTAGTGAGCTTGAAGTGATTTCATAAGCTTTCCAAAACTTCAACTTACAATATAAATTATGTGTTTGGTGATGTGTGTGCAGGCCTGGTTTTTGGATCAGTTTGGAGTTCTCCATGATGGGAAGCAACCTTACCCTGGTGCAATTTCAACATGTATGTTTTCATCTGTTTGTTTTGGCATTTGGGTAAGCTTCTGTTTTAGTTGGTAGTGCAACAAGTCATTCTAGTCTCGATTAAGCAATGAGGCAGCGGTGATTTGTTTGAACTTGTTCTTGTTTAATAGTGAAGAAGCTAGCAAGCAGTGGTGCAAAGATGGTTATTATAAGTAATTCATCAAGACGCTCGTCTACAACCATGGATAAATTGAAAAGCCTGGGGTTCGATCCTTCTCTTTTTGTAGGAGCCATCACTAGCGGAGAATTGACACATCAAAACTTACTAAGGTTGACCACCAAACCATGTATTCTTTGAACAATATCAATACTATATGAGGACTCGCATGTAGGTTTCCAACAATATGATAACATTATGGCTCATTTGCATTGGTATTACGACGAACTGTTTAATTTCTGCAACCATCCACATGGTAACTTCTCCTGTATGTTGTCATGTAAAAGGAGAGATGATGCTTGGTTCGCTGCACTGGGAAAATCTTGTATTCATATGACTTGGAGTGCTCGTGGTTCCGTATCTCTTGAGGTACAGCCATTGTTAACTCTGGAGGCCATTTTTCTCCCTTCCTCTAGTGTATCACACTTTCTTGAAGGAGCCTTTGGGGGCTCTCTTTCTCCCCTGCCTCCTTCAGGCGTCCGTTAAGATACCTATTTGAAATTTATGGCATAGTGGCTTTACTTTTCAGTAAGACAGGAATCTCATCATTTACTGTCACTGGTTTTAAGAAAAATATCCTTTGCAGGCCAAATATGATTTGTAAAAGATTCAAGATTGAATTTTTTTTTTTTTTTTTTTAATCCACACGCATTAAAATTTCCCCAGATTCGCTTTACAGAAAAATCTAGCTAGGAAATCATGAAATTGAAAACCTAGTCATATGAACTTACTATTACTTTATCAATCTCTTGTAGGGCCTGGGATTACAAGTTGTGGAGAATGTTCAAGACGCCGAATTTATTTTGGCCCATGGCTCTGAAGCCTTGGGGAGTCCTTCTGGTGATGCGATTCCAATGAAACTTGAGGAACTTGAAAGTATATTGGAACAATGTGCTGCTAAACACATCCCTATGGTGGTAGCAAATCCAGATTTTGTGACTGTTGAGGCTAGAGCTTTGCGTGTAATGCCTGGTAATACTATTTATTTGGCTGAATACAATACCCATATATATGATGGATATTTTTAGCAGTGTTGATTGTTTGCTTATATGTGCCTCATGAATTTTCTATTAGGGACTTTGGCTTCCAAGTATGAAAAGCTCGGCGGTGAAGTGAAATGGATGGGCAAGCCTGATAAGGTAATTTAACGACATTGTTCTGGTTACCATTGATAATGACTTTTACCTTAATATATATTGCTTTTGCACTCTACTGTCATTCTTTCTCTTGGTTGCGTCCAAGCACATAAATGCGGTCCAGTTATTGAGCTTGCGATATGACCCTTGTATGAGTTTTACATATTTGGTGCTCCCTAACATAAACCTTTTGCTCCGGTCTTGTGCAACTTCTTTAATTGTTTGACTGTCAAATAGTTAGCGAAGTTCTAGATTTGTGACTTGTTATTCAGTAAAGTGACTTGAAATGCTTTTTAATGCTACCCGCATTCTTTTCACATTGTTCCTTGATTTGGCAAATGGATATGTAAACCTTATCTCAAATACGATATTGTGAATTGTTTCCCAGTTATTTCGTTTCATAGATTTCTCCGTTCTCTTTGCTTTCCTTTCTGACAAGCTTAATTATACGTTTTTACACAGATCATCTACAAATCAGCTATGGACTTAGCTGGTGTAGAGCCTGCTGAATCTATCGCAGTTGGCGATTCTCTTCACCACGACATCAAGGGTGCAAATGCAGCTGCAATCCAATCAGTTTTTGTCACCTGTGGGATCCATGGAAATGAACTTGGACTCAATAGTTTCGCGGACGTTGCAGATTTATCTTCTGTGCAAGCTCTTGCTTCCAAATACGATGCATACCCGTCATACGTGTTACCTGCATTCACATGGTAGAACTAGAATCCCATTGTAAACATTAATTAACACTAGTTTCCTATCACATTACAATTTTTTTACAGATGGATCATCTGTACTTGCGTTTATCGATGTTTGAGACCTTGAACCATTTGAGTTTTTGACCTGTTTTGGATGAGTGAAGATCAAGGATTTAGATTCATAAACTGATTCTTACAAGAAAGTAGCTAGTTATTTGACGTGACGTTAATCTTTTCGATAACTTGTTTTTACTAATTCGGACGTTAATGCGTACTCCTTGTGTTGGTGCTGCCATATTTATAGACATGTATATTTATTAGAGAAGATGTTAATTTAGGAAACTGACGGGATTCGAACTTACGCTGTGATGCAAGAATAACACTCATTTCCATCATACTGGTAGAGGGCCACTTGCGAATAAAAAGCTTTTTTACCTTTCCAAACCTTGGCCAGTTTAATGATAAATTGAAGGAAGTTAATTTATTTGTCAGTTCACCTTTTTAAGAACTAGAAAGAATGAGAGACGCATTTCAATCTTTCCTAACTATTATTGTTTGATTCACAAGCACAAAGAGTCGAACGTAAGACGTGTTGTGTGGAATACAAATATGAAATTCATCCCTAATCACTTGTTCTAATTATTCTCTAGTGGTCTCATTCTCATTAAAAAAAAAAAAAAAAAAACTAACTAAAAGTCCAAAAAAATTTTGGATTTAATGAAAAATGACAAATGAAGGTGTAGTGAATAATACTAGTAAAAGTAAAAATGAACAGTAACGAAAGTATTTCGTTAAAACCCTCTAAAAAAAAATTATAATCACTCCCGTTTGATTTTAATATAAAAGTCGGTGGTCGACTTGTGTTTGTTGTATTTTCTTCTTTACTGTTGAATTTTTGAATTTTTTTGGTAAAACCCAACAGTTTATGACGCAATCAATTCCCTTGAATTATAAGATCAGAATTTCATAGCAACTGTAAGATCTATTTCTATAGGCCGTCAGATTGATCTGACGGTAAATATAATAACCAAAATAATATCAGTGTAAAAGTTTCTCGTTTTTTCACAATCTTCCCTTCCCTTCTCGCCACCACGGCCACCACCGAACCAACCTCCCCCTCCAAGGCTGCACCCACTCGTCGCACCCCGCAGACTGGTTTCTGTCACCAGATGGTTCGTCTGACTTGAGTTTCATCTCCCTCTCTCCTCATCTCAATCGCCCACTCTCCATCTCCCAGGTATGCAACTTCTGCAATGTCTCTCTCTCTAAATTATGAATTTTGTGCAACACATGGCCGACCCAGGTTGTGACCAAGCTCGATTGGTTGCTGGGTGGGACCAACAGAGTCGCTAAGCCTAACCCATCTTCTAATTTTTGATAAATTCAATACCTTTACCTTGATTTAGCAAACACCAGACTTTTTGTTATGCTAATTACATGTTCTATAATTCTCAGCATATAAGAATAGTGAGATACTTCACATCGATATCAAAGAGTCTGAGTAGTAAGAAATTCGTTTTCTTTTCTCTTGTTGTGGGGTGGAACTTAAAAAGATGAGAATTTCTGTTTAGGCAGTGAGAGTTCATGTGGTGATGTGGATGCTACTCCTGATTCTAAAATATTGAACGAATTTGGTACGTGACGAAATTTTCTAGGCATATGGACTTTGGTCATTTATTGGATCATAGTTTGGCATTTGATATTTTATCTTTATATTACAGCTTCTCAGTTAAAACGGTATTCGACTGAGGAGTTAGAATCCAATTTCCTTACGAGTGGTGCAAAGTGGTTGTGCTTCATGTTGTGGTAACCTCGGGCGCATAATTGACTTGATCTTTCATTGCCCAGACGTGTTACCTTTGATGTTTGAATTTTGAGGGTTCAATATTTAAGAGCCGTTTGATTTGAAAAGGGCATCACATAGAGGCCTTAGTAAACATTTTCACGAACTTGTTCGAGTATAAAAATGTACACTCATCTTGTTGTAGCTAAAACAGAATGGAATTTGAGATCTCATTGATTTTGCAGGAGCAAAAGGTGAAAAGAAGGCTGAAGGGGCAATAAAATGGTGGTTACCAATTCTAATTCCCAGAACAGGGAGATTGTGGTCAGGAAGAGGATTGCAAGCATGTAACTCTCTCTCTCTCTCTCTCTCTCTCTCTCTCTCTCTCTCTCTCTCTCTCCCTCCCTCCCTCTCTATGTGTGTATGTGTCTTTGTGCACACATTCAAATTTTGGTTGTTACCTTGGAAGTCATAGAAAATAAATAGTTGAAAATTTGAAGTTAGTTTTATGTTAAGAAGTGCTTCAAGTTTAAGTAGGAATCCTGGACTTATTAAGTAACTCAAACACTTCTTCAAGGAGAAAAATCTGTAATGCGGCTGTATATTTTGTATGAATGAGTAAAACTTATGGGACTGAACTGAATTTAAAAGACATTCAAGCTTATGGATTTTGATATTATGGAATCTTTTGATGTATTAAGTATTGGAACTGATTGAAGCACTGCAGTATTTGCTATTAGCCAATACATGCTTAACAATTCTATTATGCATCTTTGACGGAGATGATTCACTGTGTAGATTCAATAAACGAGAAGAGGATTTTCCTTCCTTGAGAGAATACAATGATTACTTGGAGGAAGTGGAGGACATGAGTAAGTTTTTCAGCTTAACTGTTGCTTATACGGTTATATCGTGATGAAAAGTTAGTCTGACAAAGGGAAAAATCATTTTGTAGCATTTGACTTGATCGAAGGAATAGATGTTCCTGCTATTGAATCGAAAATTGCCAAGTACCAGGAAGAAAATGCCGAACAAATAATGATTAACAGAGCTCGTAAGGTACTTCAAAATAAGATCACCATGTTTTTATCCCTTTCCTTTTTTGTTCCTAACCTTCTGATTTTGTATAATGGAAAAAGAGGAAAAGAGGATGCGGGCAAAGTGGCAATATTGAACTCTTAAATATTTCTCCTAAGTTTATGCCATGGTTCTAATGCTGGTGTTTTCGATCGAATAGGCTGAAGAGCTTGCTGCAGCTCTCGCAGCAAGCAAGGGACATCCTGTACAAAATGAAACTGATGCGGTAAGAGTGGGATTGTTACGTGTATCCATTCTCTTTTGTTTTCTTTATATGACCTTGCACATTTTAAATGTTGAAACCCTTCAAAGAGATTTTGTTAACTGATATGATGTGTCTAATGATAGGGTCTGAGCCAAGGCTCACAAGCAGGATTTGGTGCTGGTACACAGGGCCAGTATGCTCCTACAGTTTCAGGGCAACCACGTCCAACCGGCGGCATGGGTCCACAACCACTACCACTTGGAGGAGGGGGGCATGATCTGCACGGATACGCTGTTGACGATGAAGAAATGGTGAAGCTGCGAGCAGAGAGGGGTGGTCGGGCAGGAGGGTGGAGTGGAGAGATAAGCAGGAAGAGGGCACTTGAAGAAGCCTTTGGTAGCATTTGGATTTGTTAGGATCATAATTTTTCTTCCAAGTCTGTAATTGTAAGAGCAGAAACATGCCCAGAATTATGTACGAGTGCAAGTTATTTATTAGAAATATGCCTTCTTTTTCTGCAACATCCGTCCTCTTACATTTAAATTTGAATTTTTTTGTTGGTATCTTTCGCCGGACGGGTAAGATGGTACAAAGTAGTATACTTCAATATCAACTTATTGTAGCTAGTTGATTGTGGTTTAAGTTATTTTTTTTTAAGGCTTTTTAGCTAAAATGGTTCTTGAGATTTGCATAATTCCTTACTTTGATCTTTGAGATTTAAAATCAATAGAAGTGGTCTTCGAGATTGTCTATCATCAATCATTTTGATCATTTCTTGAAAAATTATTTTAAATAAGTATCAAAATGACAAAAATACATGCAATTTAAAACAATAGGCCAAAATGATTTTACAAAAAATTAAGGGTATTTTCGTCGTTATATTCTTATTTAATGGAGATTTTTCATGGAATGATCAAAATGATTGATGATAGACAATCTCATGGACTACTTTTATTAATTTCAAATCTCAGAGACTAAAGTGATAAGTTATATAAATTCCAGAGACCATTTTAACTAATAAAACCTTTTTATAATCAAAGTAAATACATCGATGTATTAAAAAAAGTTGGGGGAGAAAAATAAAAATAAAAATAAAAATGGAAAGGAGAAAGTCGGTCCATGCAAATGCAATAACCAATAAGAACAGGGGCAGTACCGTTATAAAAATAAAATAAAATAAAATAAGGCATAAAATCCTGAAAGGCGCTAACTTTCCTCCACAGCTTCAAACTCCGTTATCTCCAACTCCCAAATTCAAAGTTCTGTTCATCAGAAATTACACTTTCATTTTGCAGATTCCAGAACAAGTTGATGATAAAGTTGTGTTCTTTTCCCCCTATTTGTTTCCGGTGAGTAATTCATGTATTGAATCGGCTTATATATATGATGACCTCACTGAGATTTTCAATCTCCTTGGAAACGTTTGATTCTTCAAACAAGTTAAATTCTTCTTTTTGCTACAGTCATGTAAATGTTAGCAGAGCTTGTGTAGTTAATGCTCTGAATTGGGGAAATCGAATTAAGGTTTCTGGGCTCCCTTTCGAATTGTCGGGCACCTCGGAACTGAACCAGATGGGTGAGGAAACCAATTTGAGCTTGGTTGAGGGAAACCCGGAGTTTCGACACGAAAGTGAGAAGGGGTCTGGGGGGCCAAAGAAAGAGAGTAGGAGAGAAAAGGGTTTGAAGTTAAGTTCAAGAAAGAGTAGGTGGGTGAGGGAATTGGAGAATTTGTATGTGAATGGTGGTGAATTTGATGTTGATTATTCTGTTATTAGCTCTCACTTGAGCTTGGAGCATTGTAACGATATTTTGAGACGGCTAGAGAGGTGTAGTGATGTCAAAGCTCTTAGATTCTTCGAGTGGATGAGAAGCAACGGGAAATTAGAGCGCAATGTGAGCGCTTTTAATTCAGTTTTAAGAGTGATGGGTAGGAGAGAAGATTGGGATGCAGCTGAAAAATTGGTTCAGGAATTGCTTGCTGGTTTGGGAGGTGAGCTGAATTATCAGGTTTTCAACACCCTTATTTATGCGTGTTGTAAGTTGGGGCGCGCTGAGTTGGGAGCCAAGTGGTTTCGAATGATGCTGGATCACAGGATCCAGCCGAACATTGCAACTTTTGGTATGCTAATGGGACTTTACCAGAAGGGTTGGAATGTTGAGGAGGCGGAGTTTACTTTTTCTCAAATGAGGAACTGTGGAATTGTATGTCAATCAGCGTACTCAGCGATGATCACAATTTACACCCGCATAAACTTGTATGACAAAGCGGAAGAGGTCATTGGCTTGATGAGAGAAGATAGAGTGAGATTGAATTTGGATAATTGGTTGGTAATGATTAATGCCTATTGTCAGCAGGGTAAAGTAGATGATGCTGAAGTAGTACTGGTCTCCATGCAAGAAGCGGGGTTTTCTCCAAACATCATTGCATACAATACTTTGATAACTGGATATGGGAAGGCGTCTAAGATGGATGCTGCTCATCACCTATTTCTGGGCATAAAGAATGCCGGATTAGAGCCTGATGAAACAACTTACCGTTCTATGATTGAAGGTTGGGGTCGAGCTGACAAGTATAAGGAAGCAAAATGGTATTACAAAGAGCTGAAGCGGTTGGGGTACAAGCCAATTCGTCTAACCTGTACACACTAATAAACTTGCAAGCCAAGCATGAGGATGAAGAGGGGGCAATCAGGACTCTTGACGATATGCTGACAATGGGGTGCCAATATTCCTCTATTCTTGGTACTCTTCTGCAAGCATACGAGAAGGTAGGAAGGGTAGATAAAGTGCCTCGCCTTTTGAGAGGTTCTTTCTATCAACACATTCTTGTCAGCCAGACTTCTTGTTCCATTCTTGTCATGGCTTATGTGAAACACTGCTTGGTGGATGATACTATGAAAGTGTTGAGGGAAAAACTGTGGAAGGACCCGCCTTTTGAAGATAACTTGTATCATTTGTTAATTTGCTCATGTAAAGAGTTGGGTCGTCTTGAAGATGCTGTTAAAATATACAAGCAAATGCCGAGACATTTTAACAAGCCAAACATGCACATCATGTGCACAATGATTGACATCTATAGCATCATGAGCCTATTCACAGAAGCGGAAAAAACTTACGTGGAGTTAAAATCTTCTGGAAACGTATTGGACCTGATTGCCTATAGCATTGCTGTGAGAATGTATGTAAAAGCTGGTTCTCTGGAAGATGCTTGCTCTGTTCTAGAGGCAATGGAAGAACAGGAGGGAATTGTTCCAGACATTTACATGTTCCGTGATATGCTCCGGATTTATCAACGATGTGGCAGGCTTGATAAGTTGAAAGACCTGTACTATAAACTCTTGAAGAGTGGAGTGACTTGGGATCGGGAAATGTACAACTGTGTCATAAACTGCTGTTCTCATGCTTTGCCAGTTGATGAGATCTCAGAGATCTTTGATGAGATGCTTCAGTGTGGTTTTGTTCCTAATACCATAACCTTCAATGTCATGCTCGATGTATACGGGAAAGCAAGGCTTCTGAAGAAAGCTAGGGAGTTGTTCAGGATGGCCCAAAAGTGGGGTTTGGTTGACATGATCTCATACAATACTATTATAGCTGCTTACGGGCGAAATAAAGATTTCAGAAGCATGTCTTCAACATTTCAAGAGATGCAGTTCAAGGGCTTTTCGGTTTCCCTGGAAGCCTACAATTCCATGTTGGATGCTTATGGGAAGGAAAGCCAAATGGAAAGATTTAGAAGCATTTTGCAGAGAATGAAGAAAACAAGCTGTGCTTCTGACCATTACACGTACAACATTATGATCAATATCTATGGAGAGCAAGGATGGATTGATGAAGTTGCTGGTGTGCTGACTGAGTTGAAAGAATGCGGACTTGGACCTGATCTGTGCAGCTATAACACGTTGATTAAGGCGTACGGAATTGCAGGAATGGTCGAAGACGCTGTCCACTTGGTCAAGGAAATGAGAGAAAATGGTGTAGAGCCTGATAAGATAACCTATGTCAATCTTATCGCTGCGCTGCAAAGAAACGATGAATATTTGGAGGCTGTAAAATGGTCCCTGTGGATGAAGCAGATGGGGTTGTAAAGTTTACAATGCTGATGTAAATAATCTACGGCGTTTTTTGAGCCTCTCAACACGTGATTAAGATCTTGCTCATAAATAAGTAAAATCTGCTTTCGTTGATTCGATACATGTCTTCAGCACTTACAAGTAGTGTGGTTTTAAGGAGTAGCAAATCTTTCATTTTGTCTCCTTAGGGTTCTGGCCAAAACTCAAATGTGACGTGAATGGTCCTCTCTCGGAGGCCTGCTCTGTGTATGCAGAACAATTTTTGCTTAACAACGGTCAAGTATAGCTACCACCGGTGCTGGAGAAACTTATGCTTGTACTGAGAGTAAATTCAAAGTGACGCACAAAATTCGACCCCAAACACCAGCGATAGTTTTACATTTGAACAGAACTATTCATAAATTTCCTTCAATTCTTTACAGTTTCTTGCTCACAAATTTGCAAGTTTCCATTGACAAGTGTACATGTATCTTGTTGTATGTTTAAAGAACGATCTTTTCTCCTCCTACTCTCATACAACATATGTTATACGTCGGAATACATTGAAAAGAATGACCTCCGCTAAGTTAGCTGCCGCTTCGTATCTACTTCTCTTGCCTCAAAAAAATATTCTACGCTCTAGAAATTTTATACGACCTTGAATTTCTGTAGAAGAGTCTCCCTTTCTGTACATGGGTGAGCTCCGACATGGACCGGATCTTTAACACTGAAGATTGATCAATACCCATGAGAATCGTAGACTCGCTGATCATGGGAAATCAAAGTTTGTCCTTTCGGCTTTCACAAAAGCAACCTTAGGTTTCTGTTTCACACTTCACGTTTAAGTGCTTACCCGAATGAACTCTTAAAATAGCTTCTCGGTCATTCCAGGAGTGGCATATGATACGTGTGGCAATGCTGCTTAAACATCGTTATCAATGCTTGCTGTTCATGTACCGAGTTTCAGTTGAAAAAGTATGGAGATTCTAGAATGTATTTTAGGATGTAAGTGAGAACTAAACCATGTGTGAACCTGCAAAACATAGGCCAGCGTCCCTGCAGGCAAGAGCGGTCATCATCATGTGTGAACCGTCAAGTGAGTGAACAAAATTTGGAGGAAATGCAGTCCTTTGTTTTCTACCGTCTATCTGGAATCGACAAAATGTTAACTCTACAATAATTCATGAAAGAGTAAGGAAAGAGAACATTAAGTAAGCTAACTGAGTTACTCTCCCGCTGCAAGGCTAAAACCTGAAGGGATGTTCTTATCTGCAACCCCAAGGAGAGAAAAGTTACTAGATTATCACTACAACATTACAACTATGTAAGTGACATCTGCGCCTTTTAATTCAGGATGTTGGACAATAAGAAAAGATGTTGGACTTAAGGAAGGGCAGAAAACCTACTCTATAAAGTAAGATACCGTAACAGAAAGCCAAAACTAGAGACAAGGAAGAACAGAATATGGA